TTATCAAGCTGTTCTGTTTCTGATAATTACTTTGTTTTGGTCGACACAAACTTAAGTTTAGCTCTCCAACAGCATGTGTAAATACATAAAACCATTTACAGCCACCAAACAGAAATCTATACAATAACTGTCACGATTGGTTCCATGAACAAGCATCACACTGTTCAGGACATGGACCACGTGACCACTCAGAGATGAAGAACACGTTACTCCAAATTAAACGTCAAAAGCTAGATTACAGTAGGAAAACACAGAGAGAAAAAATAATATTTGGAACCATGTCCTCAATTCTGATATAAATAAAGCAATAGTCATTATTGCCCTCATTGCATATAGAACAAAATGAGGTAAGCTGGTAATCCTGAAAACTATCTATCTATTTAACCTGACAGACTGGTGCATATTACAAAATAGATGGTGTCATCAGTAAAGTTCTTTATATGGAAACACCTAGGTACTTATAAGAGTCCACTATCTTAATGTCCGTTCCCTGGATGCTCACCGGTGTCAGTGGGATTGATCAGCTTCTGCGGAAGTCCACCACTACCCCCTTGGTTTTGGTTGGATTTCTAGATTAAGGACAAAGCTTTTGATTAAATACTCTTAGAATTTATACCACAGGTGTTTTATCCCCAATCAGAAGACAATAAACTTGATCAGATTATTATCTGAGTTTTTTTTTTATATTTTTTTTATAATAAGCATAATAAGTAAGCTAGGAAAATGAGCTGCTAACAGGACGTTTCTCCTAAGGTACTCTCTAGCTTAGTTGTATATTTACAGGCTAAAAATGTTTTCTAAAGTCCTCTGGGCTTTACAGGTTGCATCGATGTTAGTACCTCAACACCCTTTCTACTTGCCCAGTTCTACCAGTTCTGTCCGGAGGAAGGGGCAATAATTCCAACAAATTAATGTTAGAAAAATTTGGAAGGACATCTAAATCTTTGATGGTTTCAAAGGATTTCGAAGGTACTTCCACCAAATACTAAAGACATATGTGAACACTTCTGAGTTTGAATAAAGTCTTACAAAACCCTCTAAAAATTCTGACTTTCAATATTCTGAAAATTATCAAACTGAAATAATGTTGATAATCCTAAGTTTTCCAAAATAGGATAACTTCATTTTCATTTTATAACAGACAGTTATCTTTTTATTACAGTGCTTTTGAAGATCTTGTGTCAGCTCTGAATGAATGAATCGCCAAGATGACATTCATCATCTTTCAGGATCCCCTGAAATGATGCAGTTTAATCTAATCTTGAAATCTTCAAAAGCATTCATAGAGAAGTTATGAAACTCAAAACAGAAATCCAACCTAATGACAGGGTTGCCGCCGACACAAACAACCCTGAAACTTTTCCTTGAATTGTTTCCAGATGTTCAGCACTGAAATAAACTTAAATAAACACATAGACCTTCATAAGGAAACCTCCTGCAAAATTTGACATGTTGCAGTAATGTCCAAACATTATAAAGCAACTGTTTACAAGCACTCAAAATATTTTTCTCCACATCCTCCACATCTTTCCCAATCCATGCCTGCCACACTGAGCTGCACGCTGAAGGGATGTGCAGATTAGAGGGCCCATTAGAGACTCAGTGACACCTTAGCCTGTATCACTGTTGTGAAGTGGCAGAGCAGGTCAAGTTAGTGCTCCATATTATGACCAGGATGAAGGCCTTTTTCAATAAAAAACTGCATGCTGGACTCTCTGAGGGAAAATCCTGATTAAGGTACTAACTGCATGACCCCTCACTACAACTTTACGTTAGTGGGAAGCTGCATTTATCTCATTAGCATGCTGCTTAACCAAGAGCACAGAATAACATCTGCTGCATTGGAGCTTATGAATCTGCCTTCTCATAAAAAAATAAATAAAAAAAAAAACTCCTTTAACTGCCTTAAAATGGAAAGCAGCAAAAAGAAATAGCTTCAGTCTGTTTGCTTTGACTCCATACTAACCTATGAATGCTAACTTTCAGTCATATCTCATTGCAAAACAACCATGGACTTAAACACAAATGCACACCAATAAGGTATTTTTTTACTTTTGTTTTTACCAACGCACCCTTTTTTTTAAGTCGCTGACTTGAATATTCATTTTTAATTTTAAAAAACAAAGCCTATTATATTTATGTAGGATTGTATGTAATCATTCCAAGTTAGCCACCAGTGTTTAAAACATAAATCACCAGGTTACAGTTCCAGGTAAAACTTTTTTTTCCACATCTAGAAAGTGAGATTGGTGTGCAATCAATGCTTTGCAAATTTTGTGGTGCAGGCTCTGTCAGACTGCATGAAAAGTGTCTGTAAACAGAGGGTTTTGAATTGTTCCACAGATTGCCAACTTTGACTGGATTACCCAAGAACAGGAGTCTGCAACCTTTGCAGTCCAAACAGCCATCCTTGCCCTCAGTCCAGCTAAATAAAACTCCTTTATGCTGGGCTCACACTGACTATTTCATGGCTGTGGTGCAGGGGCACAAGAAACCTAAAGTCACTAACATTACTATGTACACATACTAGCCACAGTGCAAGTCAAGTCACCAAGGCAGTGCTGTGGAAATTTGCAAGGTTTTGAATTTTGAAAAAAACTGCAATGATCCCATGTCACGTTTCAGGAAATACAAGAAACAAGCAGGAAAAAAACAAGAACCAGACAGGAAAGAGTTTTGGTGAATTGTAGAAGAAAATCAACCTATCAACTTACGCTAACCTGACCAGTGTAAACAAAACATATATACAAGAAAAAAAGGGGGGCTATTGGAGGATGGGGAAAGCTATTTATATGCTCAGATACTGTAGGTTTTGCCATTCCATTAGGACCACTGTGTCAATGAAGTCAGTTTGAGCCTGTTATTTCAACCACAAAGGTGATCATGTGTCAAAGTGGAAATTAGATTGTAAACTAAACATTCTAAATGTCAAGGAAAAGGATACATCATGTGTTATCTATATAGAGCACAGTCTTCTACATGTTTGCTCTTTCCGGCATGGCTTTCTCCTTTCAATTTTTCTATGAAGGCCAAATGTTTGATTCCCATCTGAGCTCTGCATATCTACAGCCCCTCCAAAGTCATCATGGTCCTCTTGGCTGCTTCTCTGAATATTGCTGTCCTCCTCCAGCATGTTTAGGCAGTGCTCCATGTCTTCGTAGGTCTGCAGTTTATCCTCCCTCCATGTTCAGATTAAGGATTAAACTGAACTTATAGGTAAAAAGCTTTAAAGTAAATTATAACGTCATTAACAATGTTTTACTTTGCACTGGAGTGTCACATAAAGTCCTTATGAGACAAATTGAAGCTTGCTTTTGTAAACATGCAGAATGTGAGGATATTTAGTGGCTTGGAAATTTTACACACTGGTTAAAAATGCAACACCTTAAAAATGCACACCTTAAACACCTTTTTCTACAGTAGTTTGGAAGTTTGTAAAAGTAATTTGTAGCTTTGTGATGATCGCAGCAGGTAGATTTTGTTCAGTGTCTGTTAGCAATGCATCAGCTGTAGCGAAATCCAGCAATCCTGCTAATGATGTACATGCATCAGAAAAGGCTGAGCGGATCTAACTTATTGATAGATTTGGAAAGTGCTCTCTGAGACCTCCCAAGTCTCTTGCTTCCACAGGTTTTACGTCATATGTTTTTAATCAATAGAACATAATATGGTGCTAAAGCCTTGAGATTACAGCTTTGCTCCATGTATTTTATGTAATTTCCTAGTTGAAACTGACACCTCTTTGTTCTTAAATCCCACAACAATGATCCCAAATGTTTCTCAGCTAGATGTTACATTTCTGGGTAATATTAATCAAGTTAGTAATGTACATTTATTCCACATCAAGAACTTCAGACTTACACAGTGTCACTAAATCCCAGAGTGAATCCCAAAGACACATGATCCCCATTAAGCATTTAGAGGAAATTATGGCAGATTTCTCAAATTTTGTTTTATTGCTTTTGATCCAACTCATTTGTCTCAGTAGACGTTCATCATTGTTCTGTCACACATATAATGATATTATTACCAGAAAGAAGATGTTGGTTGCCTCTGAAGCGTAATAATACATAATTATACCCTTGTTCAGTTCCTCTAAAAAAAGAAAAAACAATTCTGGTATGTCGTCTTCCCAACAGTTCACCATGGTATGCAGCTTTAGCTGAACAGCGAAGCAGTCTGAGTCCTGCTGTGGTTGAAGTATTTGGAGAAATCAGAACCATTTGCTTTTGATAAAGTTTGCTGAGTGTCTATGCAGCTTAAAACATCTCTTAACACAAAATGCAGCATATGTTTTAGTTTGAACAGTTTTATGAAGATAACAACAGAGCCAGCAAAGACTTAAGGAAGAGGCACAGATAAAAAGACAAATGGTGAGAAGTGGGAGAATTGTGCAGCTGAAGGGGAAAGAGAACATTAATATGCAACACTTAGCTTTGGCACTTGAGTTTTCTGTGACTCAACAATCTGTTTGCTCGCTCTATGATAAATCAAACAGCATACCAATGCACCATCAGAGACCCATATAAGTGTTTCATATTATACTGTTACTTTAGGTTTCCATCTTAAAACCTAAAGTTTATGTCTGAGCTAACGATGTTTAGAATAAAAGCTTGACAAATGATTTAACATCAGGCAGGCAATAAAGCGTGTTTCCACAGTAATATTGTCCCATCAGAATTTTACTACATAAGTTGATGTTCTTGGAGAAACACTTTAGTGAAGCTGTACCCTCTCTGTGGGTCTCTGGCTAATGAGTGGCAGCTTCATACCAAAAACATCAGAGGGATCCATTGAGGGCCTTTTTTATGGGTACCACGGTGTTGAACGCTGAAAATAAAAGAGGGAGAGTTCTAAATATGAATCGGTTTCACTGACAAATAAGAAATTTGTCTTCCAATTTTTTTTTTTTTTTTGCAATGTAAATATTTTTAGATATAAAGGTTTTAAAATACTGCAATGGACTGGCAACCTGTCTAAGGTGTACCTTACCTTTCGCCCATAGACTGCTGGAGATAGGCACCGACCCCTACGCGACCCTGACAGATACAGAGAGAGAATTGGATTGATGGATGGTTTGTTTAAATAAGTATTGATAAAGTTAAAGTTTTTTGTAAATATTTTTATAAAAACTGTGTTTTACAAGATCGGGATCATCATGTTTTTCTTCATAACAAGTTTCCCTTAAAACATCCAGTACATAGCGAGTCAAATATGTTCCTAATGCTGTAGAACCCTGTTTCCTTTATAATAGGGAACTATGAAATGTATGAATATTAAGCTCTGACATCAATAAACTGTAAAATCCGTTAACATCCTCAAGGATTTTATAAGTAGTTAAGCTAACCCTCATCTGGCATGTCATGCTGACACAGAGAGCCAAGAGCGCACACTAAAGAGGTCTGAACTGATGCTCAGAGGCTCTTTGGATTTGGCTTTCTTATCCAGTCGTCTGCTGAACACATCAGTCCAGATCAGCTGCAGTTCTCATCAAAGCCTCTCAGGCAGAAGAGCAAATATTAAGCCCTGTAAAATATGAAAAAAAAGAAAAAACAGCTGAGACTGTTGTATAAAAACACCTTCTTATAAACTGCATGCTGGTTTAAGTGCCTCAGCAAATCATTTAGACACTCATAAGCTGTCCTTCTGGATCAACAAGACCTCTGAGATTCATAGGCAGCCAAATTCATAGATGTGTTCATTTGAGCAATTGTATCTTTGGACAGTGAAATAATTCAAGTGCAATGACTAATCCAGAAAACCCCATTATGCCTTTCTAAAATACTTTATGTAACATAACATACATCCGGGGCTGCATGGTGTTACAGGGGGTAGCACTGTTACCTTGCAGCAACAAGGTTCTGGGTTCGATTCCTGGCCTGGGTTCTCATTGCATGGAGTTTGCATGTTCTCCCCCTACATGTGTGGGTTCTCTTGGGGTACTCTGACTTCCTCCCACAGTCCAAAAACATGACAGGTTAATTGGCTTCTCTAAATTGTCCTTATGTGTGATTGTGTGTATGCATGGTTGTGTCTCTTTGTGTGTCTCTGTGTTGCCCTGCAACAGACCGGCGACCTGTCCAGGATGTACCCCGACACTTGCTCATAGACGGCTGGAGATTGGCACCGGCCCCACAGTGACCCTGAAAGGACTGGATGGACAGACATTAGTCTTCTTGAATAAAGTATTAATACACAGTCAAAGCTTTCAGTTTTGACTTATTCTACCTTCAGGGTGTTTTATGGAGATTTGGAACCTTGTAGGCTATATCGATCATATATAGCACCATCAGTTTAATTCTACACAGTCTGGGTGTGCTTCCATCTGTTCAAAGAAAGAAGAGATATTTAGCAAAACCTTCTGAGCTGATTGGATGAAACAAGACCTAGAGCCCACCCACCAAAAATTGGTTTCAGCTAATCATGGTAACACATGAAAATGTCAGAAGATGCCATGAGAAACCACAAGTTTGGCTTTGGCTTGCAACGCTCATGCTGTAACCCTCCTTTCAAAGATGAAATTGTGGAATCCGACAAAGCAGATGTGATAGCAGCAGCTGTGTGTGCATCTTCCTGCGCTTCCAAGTTACATTTGGTTTGGCTGTAAGCTCTTGCTGTGACGAAAACAAGAGCTTGTTTTCATCACAGCTATATGTGCCGCCATAAACGACTATACTACAACTGGATTGGTCAACCCATTTTGGGTCAGTCTGGAATTGCTGAGGTGGGAGCTGTACATGAAGGACCCATCCCCTTGGAGGTAGGACCCATTCCCTTGGGGAGCAGTGGGCTGCCATTGTGCAGCGCCAGGGGAGCAGTGTGGGGTTGAGGGTCTTGCTCAGGGACCCTCAACCATTGCTCAGGGACCCAGAGTGGCAGTATGTGGGAGTGGGGGATCAAACTCCCAATCTCAGGATTCAAAGCCCTATGCCCTAACCACTAGGCCACCACTCCCTTGTAAAACCACCACTCCCTTGTAAAAGTAAAAATTGCTCAAAATGGAACACGATACCCTAAAGTGGGAGACAAATGTATCCTTTCAGCCCCATGAGACACAGCATTGTAAGACCCGCTTCTGTTTGAGCTCAAGTATTTTGCAATATATTTCTACAAAGATTACCCTGGATTAAAATCATTCATCTTATTTTCAACTCTGATCAGCTTTACTGTGCTTTTATAAATAAAAGTATCTCCACAGCCTGATGCTGCCGCCTCCATGCTTTTGTGTGTAAATCATACAGTAGGTTCAGGGTGGTGTGCAGTGACAGATTTCCATCTAGGTTAAAAAGGGCTCATCTGACCAAAATACACAACTGCTGTGTCCCCTACATGGCTTATGATCAACTGCAGGAAACAAGATAAGCCTGTTAGCGTCATTTGGAGCAGGCTGGCTGCACAGAATAAAGTACTGTAGTAACTGATGTGTTATTGCTTTTCTAAGACCTTGTCGCTCCTTAAATTGCACCGGATATACAGAAAATCCCTAATTAATCCCTTATCTTGTTTTCCTGAAGCCCGGGACTTTAGATGTTGTTGTTTTCCACCACTGCCTAAAATGATCTGATATGAGGAGTTGCTTCATCAACAGATTCTCCTAACTGAACTGTGAATCTCTCTACCTCCATCTGATAGAATACTATGAAATAAAATATGAATTGTACTAATTAGAAAAATTTTTTGGAGTTATTCCCATGAACCGTAAAGATGCATTATGACATTTGAGTCTTGTGCTTGTATAGCAATTAATGTTTTTACATGTTTTGCACGGTGAAAAACAGAGTAGTAATTATTCCTTGCTCATTTTTGTTTAGCTTACAGGACATCTATAAACTGCAGCAGAACCAGTCCTTTGGGTTATGGCAAAGGTTAGAAATAACAGAGGATTCAATGACTGGCTCAGACGTGGAGAGGCTGATTCATCCGTGGAAAGACCTTACAGTGGGTAATCTTATTATGCAGATGAGCCTGAGTGCCCCTGTGGCCGTGCTGAAAAGGACGCAGGCGGTGTACGGCTGGCAGGGCACATATGGCCCAGTCATCCAGACACCACAACCACAGCAGAGATCTCTCCATCATTTACAGTTATCTAGTTTCTTTGGGTTCAGTTAAGAGGAAAACATGGCACCCAGGGAAAAAACTCCACAGCATTCCTCAGATAATGCCCATGTCTGAATAGCATAAACAGATGGGAGCTCTAAGCATGCTGTGCCTCAGCTCAACTGTAGCTTGAGATGTATTGATCTTTTTTTTTTTTTTTTTTAGCTTTTATTGCAATCTTGAGTTGAACCCTTGTTTTTTGTCTCTTGGGAAAAAAAAAGACTCTGAATTCCTCTTGAATAAGGATAAAAAAAAAACTAAAGCAGATACATAAATAACAGTTCACTTTGCAAATGTAATTAGTGCTGTTACTATAAATCATGCAATATAGTTTCCTTAATTTTTGTCTTGTCATGCATGCATTATGACCCTGTACTTTCATCAAACTTTGCATATGTGACCATTCCATCTTTGTGTCATCATGTGATAAGCTGTCTGGCATAATGTAGCTTGCTTAATTTTTTTCTGAGAAAATCCAGAAACCAAAACTTACCTCAGAGCTGTTTTTTTTTTTTTTTTTTATTTAAAGAAGGAGTACTATTCGTAACTAAGATTAAGACCTGCCTCATGCTACTGCTGCATGAGAACCAGGATCACAGCTAGACAAAGGCTGTTGGTCTCTTCATATGGTTGGAGCTATAGCAAAAAAAAAAAAAAAAAAGGAATAGAGGAAGATTAAATAAAAAGGAATAGAAAAGGTGCTGGGCAAGATAATTTAAAAGATAATAGAGGGGTGCTATATGGGCAGGGCTCATTTTCAGATCACAGGTTAATTGCTTTTTGAATTGAAAATGTTTTTTTTTTTAATCTGGTCTGGCTGCACACTGAGATTTGGTTGCAGGAAAATATAGGCAGGTCTGCAGTTAAACTCGTCTAGAAAGAGATTGCTCAGTTATATTGCAGGTATCAAACAAGAAGCTAGTTTGAAGGTTGCGAAACCAAGAATTAATAAGCCTGCCAACATGAACAGGCTGATGAACTCTGTCATTTAAAATGTATCCAAGTTCCTACAAATGAAAATGTCGCTTCTCTGTGTTTGATAGACACTCTACTCTGTGACTGCATTTAATCTGCACGACAGCATCCCATTCTCTCTGACTGCACCATTAGCTCTGAGCAGAAAAGCAATTTACTGGTGACTGTTTATTGCTGAGTAAGCCGTGTCAAAATGAATATTTCAGATTTTCACCATTACATTGTTGCCTGATTACAGACGACCAAGATAAGGCATTCAAAGAAAAAATATATAAAAACACAAATAATTTGTAAGAATTCAATTTGGTAATTTTATATTTTATACACCTAGAATTTTCAATCTGTTTTACTCTCACTGAGTGCATTAAGCATGGATTGCATAAGATCTAAAATCTTTTAAATTTAAGTTCAAGCAAAGAAATGTTTTGTATACAAGCAGTTTACAATTATAATATTACATAGAAAATATAGAAATAAAAAAAGTTTTTATCATTTCTTTATTATGGAGCCCATCAAAGATGTCATCAAGAGCACCATGTTGGATTATCTGGTTTTAGGCGGATTTTACACAGTTATATGTATGAAATATATCTATTATTTGTAAAAGCATACATCCATAAAGTTCAAAAGCTCGAAAATGAAAAATCAAATTAAAAATGGTATAACAAACAAACAAGCTGAATAGTTTCACCATTCAGGATAACCATTGTGCACGGTGGGCCCTCTAGTGGTCAGCATGAGCACAAAATCCAGCACACTGGATTTTCAATGTAAAAGCAAATTTTGCTTTGTTTAATCAAACTTCGTTTAAAGTTGGTCTGTTTGGTCTTCTTGTAAAACATATATTTTACATACAAGTATAATGAGTTTATTTTCTAATAAAACTAGTTTTCTAAATGCCAATAATGTTAATGCTTCAAATATATCTGTTGTAAAGCAGCAGCCACAAATTACAGATGATTCTTATTTTAATCCCATTTGTTGTTTGCTATTGTACAACATGCTAAGGTTTATCTGTCTTATTTTGTCCTTTTTTGTGTGTACTTCAATTATCCCTCCATCTGCCTCTGTCCTGAATGTTTTCATTTAGATATTGAAATGTATCAAAACAGTATTTTAAATAACCTAAACCTTTTAGAGTCATGTGTGTTTATCACATCCTAAGATTATTTTTGCTGTTTTGTTGAACAACGTTTGGTCTTATTTTAACTCTGTTATAAAAACATCTTGGGGTGAGATCCTATGATGACACAGTTTTGAAGAAGGCAAATGAGTCTGCCCTAATATGTTTCTGTATTGATAAATGGTTTCTGGTAAAGACAATTTAGTCAGCTATAAATGAACTGGCTATTTCTTTCAGCTTTACATTTCTAAACAAGACCTTTGTTTTGATGACCTTATGGAATCACAAATGTTTTGATTCTTGTTCATTATTCATGTATATTTTAATAACTTGATGTTTTTAGTGTTTTTAGTGTTCACCCCAATTTGTGATGCCTTTAATTCCCGATTGTGTGACATTGCCTTAGTTATCTCACGCTACTTCATGTCCTTTAAGACAATACACTGGCATACAAATTGTTTAAATATAATTTTTCGAACTACAAAACTCGACCCCAAAGACCCCCAAAGTCTTAATTAACCAGAATTATATATATATATATATATATATATATATATATATATATATATATATATATATATATATATATATATATATATATATGACTGTAAATGTACAGTTCTAACAATTCAGGTTTAGTTTGTTTTTAAGGGTCTGAAATAAAATCAAACTGAACTCCTCAGTGATCCAGTTTTCAGGACTCCCCTCATTAGGAATCAGAACCAGGATTAAACCCCAAACATCACTCGGTGACACAGACGCGCATGCGCCTCAGATCTCCTGGCCACATGAGTTTTGGTCACAGATGCGTCAAGTAGACAGAAACATCAAGCGTTGGGCCGGATGTTGTGTAGGTGACTACCACAATAAAGCTGAATAAGAGGCGCAGAAAATGTTCCTGCTGTGTAAAGAACAAATTTGTGTAAAATAATTAAAAAATAATCGACCAGGAAACACAAAGCTATCTTAATATCCACTGATGTTGTGTAAATATTAAGCGTGTTAGACCGCCATTGTATTCAACTGTATCTATTACCTTTATGGTCGGTACGGCTTTTATTTTGAAAGTTTAAAGGGATCCTGCACCTTTAAGACCAGCAGCCTGACCTCTGCCTGAATGGCACCACCGCTGCGGCCGTCGCTCGGAGCATCAGAGCGCTGATCCTCCTCCTCCTGATCCCCATGTGAGTGTGTGCGTGTTGGGGAGGCGTGCAGCATGTTGACACAGATCCACTGAACCGCTGTTTTATTTTCTGCCCAACTCCCAGCAGGGTGTAAAGCTGCCAGCCACAGAGACCCACCATGGGTTAGTCAGAAAGCCACCTATGGATTATCCACTTTACGCACTTCAGCCAAGATGAGGATGAAGGGGGACAGAATGGACTTGTTTTCGCAGATACAGCCTGACAAAGACGGGGACTGAGAGTGATCCTCAGCTCCATCCCGACTGTCTGGAAATTTTTCTTTTCATTTTTTTAATTTTTGATTATTTATCTAATTCACTGAAGTCTGCGTGAAGCAGAGATGTTTGCTGAATTGCTGTGCGGCGCCGTGGCTCTGGTCCTGTATGTCAACACTCTGGGAGCCGATTTCTGCTACGATGACAGGTACTTACATGACTGAATGAATTGCGCACAGAACCCGCGTTACTAACGTCCCTGCTCCCTGCAGCTCCTCGCCTGCAGCGGATCAGTTGCTTCTCAGCAGCTGAAAGAGGCTTTTTCCTTGTTCTGTTGCTCCAACTCCAGGCATCCAGCGTTTCATTGCATCAGCATCGCAGCTGAGCTTTTCATTAATCTGAGCAGCAGAGTACTAAAGAGCAAGCATCAGGTATCAATGAGGAATGTGGCTTTGAAGGGCTGCTGAGTGATGGAAAGGTCCCAGTCCTCTGTCAAATTTCAGACGTCTGCAGGCACGTGTGCATGAATGCCTTCAAGACTCTGACTTCTCAGAATTAAAATCAGACTTTTCCTCCTGATTCATGATCAATATGATGGATGGATGGATGGATGGATGGATGGATGGATGGATGGATGGATGGATGGATGGATGGATGGATTTTCATCCATTTTAAGAGTTTCGGCAATGGATATTTCTTTGGTCAATATATAGGGAGTCAAAAAAAAAAAGGCTAACCTTTTTGTAGTATAAATAACTAATGATTATATTTTTAACATTTCATTTGAGTTAAACTTTTTTTTTTTTTTTTTTTTTGCCATGCTTCTATTCTTTCTAAACTACAAATGAATGAGATGGTACAGTATTAACCGCCATTTGCAAATTAGATTTTGTTTAGTATCACATGTGAATACTAATAGTTCTTGAATTCCAAATCATGAAAAAAAAAGCAAAATTATATTACAATCCCTACCTCAAAACAAGCTAAATTGGAGCCAGCCAGCCAGCCAGACTTTCCTCAGTTTATAAAAAAAAAAAAAAAGAACTATCTGGGACTTTTTTCCAATTCTGGCAGCCTTAAGTAGAATAACCTGTGGTTGGAGTGCAGTTCTAAAGCCACATTCTAATTCAGATACAAAAAAACCTTTAAGTTCTCCATTGGTCTATGGAAAACAAAAAAAAAAGTCTGATTGCCTCCCATTTAAGTTTGTTTTGTAGATAGATAGATTGATTGATAGAAAGATATTAATTCATTTTAAGAGTTTCTGCAATGGATATTTTTGGCCAATATATATGAATATATTTTTGCTTCTTTATATAATGGCAAATTTTTGCACCTGAATGCCTCAGCTATCCTCCAGAGTGTAGACTAGCTGAAAAGGCTGGAGTTGCTGAGCTGACTTGGTTTTTCCTCAGAAACTGTGTCTTTGCTCCACCCGTTTTAGACTTTTTAATCGTGCATCGTGAACAGGGGTATTTGATAATATTTCTTTCCCTAAAAGTAGGGAGAGTTGTCACCCTGTCAGCTGGAAACGATCAGTGCCGGGGGGGTGTGGGGGCTCGGCTGGCTCATGCGGGGTAATGCATTACTCATAGCTGGCCTTTTGATATGTGATGGCTGAATGCTTGTCAGTGCCTCGGGCTTTATTCACCAGCCATGTCTTGATGTAGGTCAGAGGCATTTCTCTTATTTGGTATCAGCCTCCTGTCATCACCTGATATGCCTACACAGCAATGAACCTACTTTTGCAGAATATCTGATATATTGGCTGTAATGTTTATATCTGCTTATGTGTAGTCTAAGGGTGACCTAACAGGTGCTGCTCCCACCCACCCAAGGGGAAGAAATAGTGCATTAACACCCGGCAAATCAAAAAGCCCTGTATTTCCTTTACAACTCCATTGACTGCTGTGTATTAAAACACTTCCTGCTCAGGAGCCTCCCAGAGGCTTTTTTGCTGAAAGGCTACTAGTTCCCTTTTATTAAAAAGGAAAATAGCAGAACAGTTCATTTGGATGCCTTGCTCTGGATTTGGCACTCAGTTTCTTTTATACAGGTTACTAGTCAGATCAAGAGATTAAAATGCTAAAATTTTAAAAAGTTAGGAATTTAAAGCCACAAAAAAATCAATAATTTTTCATAAGAAACCCAGAAAAAAACCTGAAGCGATTGGATGTTTATTCAACAGAATAATGCTACTTTCCTGCCTTTATAGCTGCACATTGCCTGTCAGATGGATTTGTGGAAGCTGCAACTTGTCCCTTTCTTAAAAAAAATATATATTTGGGATTTTGGAAACATTTCCTGCAGTAAAATAAACAGTTGGTGTGGATTCTGAGAGAGCACCGCTCATCACTCTAAAAGGCTTATATAAGTTTATTGTTCTCCATCACTCTAAAAACAGAGTGACAGAAGGACAGAATAACTTCAAAATTTAGCGTGAGTTTTTTTTTTTTTTTTGGTCTGCAACTAATGATTATTTTGTAAATCAATTAATCTGTTGATTAGTTTTTTCGATTAATCGATTAAAAATCAGATAGCCAAAGGTTCCTTAAAGACGGCTTTTTCCAAAATTGAACCAGGTGAAACAAAACCTTTCTACTTCAGGAGTCCTGGATGGAGCATATTGACAGATGAAATAGATTTTTCCTACTAATTTAGTTGACAATTGTTCCAATAATCAATTAATCAAGATTAATCTGAATAGTTGTTTCAGCCCCAGTATTTTTGCACATTTCCATGTGTCTTGTTTTTTAAAAAAAAACTTCAATATTATCTTACAATATGTTTAACAACAATATAACAGCCATTTTTCTTTGCTGCTTTCTTGCCGTCCTCAAGAATCTCTGAGCTTTCAAAATTTCAGACATTAAAATCTATGCCTGTTAAAAGTCCTCAGTTTCTAATAATAGCAGTTTGAAATACTTAAGCATGACAAATATTGTATCCTGTCGTTTCAGATTGAAAAACTGCTCATTTTCCAACTAAAATTATGATTACTATTTAGTCCACTGTGCAGCTGTCAACGTAATAAAAATAAATACAGATAACACTATAAATAATCTTATTTATAGCAGCAGTAGAAATGAATTTTTGCTGTTCCATTCTAAATAAAAGCTCTTGAGCATTTTATGTTGTTTTCTAAAATTGTGGTGTAAAAACAGTGATAGTGTAGTATTTCCCTAAAGCTTATCAGTCTATGAAGACGTCTTGCTGGTCCAGCCTTATTTTTGAGCTGCTTGAAAGTTGGTGTTGTGTGTCCATAAAGCTGTCGGGGTGCGGCAGCGCTGTAAGAAGAGGTTAGAGGCTGCAGAGTCAGCTGCTGTGAGGCTGCAGAGCGACCTCTACAACTATCAGAAACCCATATTCTTGCTTTTTCTGTAAGACTATCTTAACAGAAATCCTACTATATGTGTTTTGCTCAAAGTAATAGGGGTTCCATATGAAACATATGGATGCCATACTCTGACAGCCTCATCCACTTCCATTTTTTTTTTCTACATCTCAGGCTATCTGTCAACCAGCGTTATCTTGCTTTTAACGCCACGCGTTCAGGCTTGCAATTAGCAGCCGTATGTCTCCATGGGCTCCACTCGGGGGAGATGAGGGAGGAGCGAGAGGCATGGTGCAGCAGAGATCTATTTATTTCTTTATTTCTTTTATGAGTGAAACATTTTTGGATGCAGAGACTGATCTAATGTGCTAATGGGATGCCGGTGTGGAGATAAAGCTCATATGTATGATGGAATGAATCAAGCCGTTAGCTTTCACAAACAGCCTCCAAGTAGACCAGAGGTTTACATAATTTACTGGCAAAGTCATCAGTCATAGATAATGTGACGCCTTATGCAGAAAGAAGGAAGATCCATTGCTGATGTTTCACATTTTCTGCCTTTAAGCAGGATTGAATGAATCTGGTTGATCATTTAGCAGGAAATGATTATGGCTGTTTGGTCACAGGGCGACATTGATCTCTGGGTGATGATTGAAGATGTGTGCTGTTTGCTCCTAGTTGTATGATTGGTTCACAGACACAAAATCCGAGATGAAGCTGCTCACTCATCTAATGTGTTTCGATTGTTTCAACTCACTTTGCTCAGATTTTAACCACCAAATAATTGTACAAATGTACATATATTTTTTCAGAAGACTGTAGCGCATACTGAGCATGGAGTCCTTTATAGCAGCTCTCTGGATAAAAATGGCCTCACCGTAGATTGACCCGCTCTGCAGTGCCAAATCACCCCAGGGGATGCTCTTCCTCTGGAAACACTAATCAATAGTGTATACCCAACTTTGACACCTTCAGTGGAAAATGGAAATAATGAATCTTTTAGTCTATTCCTCTGTCTGCAGTGGAACGTATATAATGTAAAAGGAAAACATTAATGCTTTGTTGATTTTTTTTTTTTTTTCCTGTGCTATAAAGCTACAGAGGTGCAGTAACACACATAGGGCTGCAACTAAGGGTTATTTTGCTAATCTTTTTGATTAATCTGTTTATTTTTTTCAATTAATCAATTAATAATCAGATAGAAAAAAGTTTCTTAAAGGTTCAATACAGGATTAAACCAGGCGAAACTAAAACTTTTCGACTTGTGAACTTCTGGCTAGAGCATATTCACAATTTTAATATAATTACTGCTCTTAGTAGGTCGCTCTGTCAGCTAAAGGCATGTTTTAGAGTCTCTTTATCCAGATAACGATTAATCGATTACTGAATTAGTTGACAATTATTTCAACAATTAATCTGATTAATTGTTTCAGCCCTACGAACATCTAGGAGATATCAAATTGAATAGCTGCAAATTTTCAGGTTTTTAAATATTAACCAAACTTAATATTTTGTCACATTCTAATAACAATGCTCACTATTTATTTTGTTAGGGTTTTTTTCAAACCAATCACAAAGTAAGTTTTTTTTTTTTTTTTTTTTTTTTTAGCTATCAAGAATCTAAGCAGTGTGGCGTTCATATGTATGAGATACTTTTAAGTTTTCTTAATGAAAGATTGAAAAACCATGTTTTTCCCATACATTTATAGACTTGTATTGGTGTTTTCCATGGTATTTTATGTCTCATTTCTTCTCAAAAGGATTGGTTTTATGGGTCATCCTTCCCTGTCAGGATGCTGATGAGTTAGACAAACTGTATCCTCCTCATTACCCTGCCCCGGTGTGATAATGTAAGACCTGACTCTGTGAGGATGTGTGAAGGCTGCAGGTCAAAAGGAAGGACGCAACTTCCCCTGGTGAGGGGAATGATTTATAATCAACAGTCAAACAGTAGATAACTTCAAAAATACTTCATCCTGTGCAGTCTCCAGGAGAGGACATATGATCAAGGGCAAAAGAAACAGAGTTCTAGTTTCACCTTGTCCCTCTCAGATGAAGAATTGGCTGTACTGGCATGCCTGGCCCGGTATCAGCATTTCTCTGTCCAGGTCTCCTAACTGGCAGTGTCTGTCTGCAGTGATGTGGAACCATGCTTTTGTAGCCTCAACGGTGGGTTAAAGTGGTTTGAGCCTCTATGTTACGAGCCTGAATCCAGCCACCCAGCAGCAGGAGTATCCCTTCCTTT